GGCAGCTGCGGAGGCGGCTGCGGTTGCGGTTGCGACAGCAACGTCGACGACAGGGGAGGAGAGACCGGGGTGGGGATAGGCGGTGGAAGGGAATCCCCCGAGCCGCGAGAGTAAGCAGACTCCCTTGGCAGGGACAACCGACGAGAGGGGGGTGACGTGAGACACACCAGAAGGGGCAGGGCAGCTAGGGGGAGGAGCAGAGGCGACCGGGGGAGGGGGGACCAGAAACTAGGGGGGAGTAACCGGGGGAGCACAGTGTGGAAATCGGTGGTAGAAGGAGACGGACTCGTCAAAGGTGACGTCGCGAGAGTGAAAGAAATAGTGAGATGGTGGGTGGTAGAAGTGCCAGTCAGACGAGTCGAGGGGAAACCGAGGAAGACACAGGGGACGGTGCGGGCTGTAAGCTTGTCCGTGCCAAAGGCACGAACGTGAGAAAGGCAGCAGACGTGTCACCAGGAGACCCGGTCCAGAGGAGGTTCGGCAAAACCTGCGGCCGTTGAGGGTGCGGCCATAGATTAAGCTGGTGGGCGGCGTAGCGAACGGCGAACGGCCACAGAAAATGGGGTGCACTGACATGGATCATGGAGGTACGAGCAACCTCTATAACCAAACCAATGCATCGCTCAGTGACCCTATTCTGCTGCGGGGAGTCCGGAAGGGTGTACGTCTGGGTGATGCCCTCCGCTCGACAGAATCGACCAAGGCAGCCAAAGGCGAACTCGCCACCACGATCAGAGTGAAGACGCAATACAGGGAGACCTCGGCGCACATGCGTAGAGACAATCCACGGGATAAGAACGTCAGGCACGTCGGCCTTCCTCTCCAGGGGAAACACGGTGGGGTAGCGAGTGTAGTCATCGACAAGCACTAGGAAGTAGCGCTCACGACGCGGGCCATGGACGGGAGCGGGGCCCCAAACGTCCATGTGGAGGGTCTGCAGTAGTGCAGTGCTGGGGGGGAACGAGGAGGAGTGAGGGGCACGGCAGAGCCGGCCCTCAATGCAGGGGTATACGGAGGCGCTGCCGAGGAGGGAAGCGCAGGGAATGACGCAGGGAAACCTAAGACAAGACCGTGCTAGGACATGTGACGGAGACGAGAGATGATGGGGTGACCTAGGCGGTGGTGCCACAGAAGGGACGGGTGAGTAAGCGACCGACACGAGCAAGCCGCAGCTATCTGGGTAGACGCTGCCACCTGGAGAGGCGTCCCAACTGGGGGAGATGCGGTGTCCGCGTGAACAGGCTAGACACCGGGTCCCGGGGGAACGTGGTGAGGGGGGCAGTGTACCTCTCGTGACCAGGGAACGTAGTGGTGACGCCGAGGTCCAGAAGGCAGCCGACGCCAACTAAGTTCCGAGAGAACGAGGGGATGTGCAGGCCTGTAAGTGAGCCCGAAGGAACCGCCAGACAGGGGAGGGTGGTGGAACTACGGGCGACTACCGGACCTGAGGAAGGGTCTGCAAGGGTGGCTGCAGCAGGGGCGGCAATCGGCGCAAGCATAGTGTGGTCCCGAAAGAAACACCGAAGTGCGCCAGAGTCGAGAGTGAAGGAGAGCGCGGCAGTGGCGGCTGGGGGCAGAGGAGGTAGAGTGGAGCCAAGGCTAATCAAAGCAATGTGTCCTACGCCTGACGCAGCAGGGGAGCCTAAACTAGGCACACTGGGCACACCTACACTAGGCAACACAGGGTAATAGGAACCAGTCACACTAGAGTCATCGACATACAACGCATACAATGCAGAGCTAATCTCATCCATGTCCATATCAAAGATCCTAACACCACGGCGGAGCAGACTGTGCCAGTCGGGGAGGTCCGGCGCGGGGCCGAAGCGGAGACGAAACAGGTCGTCCGGGCAACTGAAACAGTGAGTGGGGGTATGACCGATCTTACTGCACATGAGGCCGCGGCGAGGACCGGTCTGGAGCTGGTAGTGCCCGTCACTCGCACCACCACCCGACGATGAGCTACGCGCACGACCTCCGCGACCACCACCACCACTGGCGCTAGGCCATCCAGACGGGAGGCGGCCGACCCTCCGCTGCGACTGCTGCTGCTGCTACTGGTCAAGCTGTGGCGCCTGTTGCTGCTCTCGCTGGGGCTGCTGCTCCGAGGCACCAGCCCCAGCCGCCTCATTGGTACTACCACCAGCGGAAGAACCACCTCCACCACCACCTCCACCCCCTCCTCCACTACCATTGCCGCGCCCAGCCTTGGGGCGGCGGGCCTTACCATAACGGGACTGCGATGTGGCCACCGCGGCAGCGGTCTCAGCAGCAGAGGCTGTCTCAGTGACAGCCGCAGAACCGTCGGCAGGGTTTTGCTCTTGCTAGACTGGGGGGTAGAGCGCTAACGGGTCTCTATGGCAGACAGGGTGTCGACAAAGTCCGGGAGGGTGAGGTCAGCGGGGTGCAGACTCAGAAAATGGTCGCGGGCAGTAGCCAGGCGGTCAGGGAGGCGGGTGGCAAGCACGTAAAGGATAGAGCAGATAGGGGACTGAAACACACTAAGCTGGGCCTCAGTGCAGGCAGTGGGCCAGCTCGCGTCGAGCGTGCGCAGGTGCGTGGCCAGGTCAGCGACGGTGGGAGAAAGACGCGAGATCAGAGGACGGGGTGGAATAACGCTCGACAACAGCCTCTAGGAACTCCTGTGCAGTCCTGGCCCGACTTAAAGGGGGGGCACTCAGACAGGGGGAGGGCATGGCTAATCACAAGCTGAAGGACAGCGTCACGTGACAGCCAGACAGCATGGGCAAGGGCAGCAGCGGCGGCGGACTCACGGTCAGCAGACGTGGGGTCAGCGGGGAGAGCAACAGGGGGGTCAGGGCAGGGGAGCGTACCGTCAATGTGGACGGCCAGGGAGTGGCCATCCTGCCGCTGACCACTGAGGTGACGGCGGAGGTCGACGGGCCACGCGTCGAACTCAACCAGCTGACCCTCCGCATCAAAGCGCAGCACCGAGTCCGTCATTATGGCCGCTGCAGCCGCGAACAGGTGGTGAAGGGCGGGACGGAGCGACGAGGAGCAATGGAGAGCAGTGCTGTACGGTGCAGTGCGGTGGAACGCGGTGCAGTGCAGCGCCGCACGGTGCAGAGCGGTGCAATGCGGTGGGGCGCGGTGCAGTACGGTGGGGCGCGGTGCAGTGCGGCGAAGTGCGGTGGGGCGCGGTGTAGTGCGGTGCCGCGTAGTGCTGAGCGGTGCAGCACGGTGGGGCGCTGTTCAGGACGGTGGAGAGGGCCGGTTTAGCGAGCGGGGACCGGAAAACACGGCCAAGGGTGGGGGAGGGGGCGGCTGAGCAGCTGGGCGACGGGGCCACGGGACGGCTGGGCGACGGGGCCGCGGAGCAGCGGGCGACGAGTCCGCGGGGCGGCTAGGCGACGGGGCGGCTAGGCGACTGGCCAACGGGGCGGCTAGGCGACGGGGCCGCGGGGCGGCTGGGCGACGGGGCTGCAGAGCAGCGGGGTGATGAGGCCGCGGGGCAGCTAGGCGACGGGCGGCTAGGCGACCGGCCGACGGGGCGGCTACGCTTGGGGCGACGAGGCCGCGGGGCCAGCAGGACGGCTAGGCGCAAGGCGACGAGTCAACAGGGCCACGGGGACGGCTAGGCGCCAGGTGACGAGACGACGGGGCCACGGGCGGGGAGGCGCTAGGTGATGGGGTCGCGGGGCCAGCGGGGCGGCTAGCCGCTAGGTGACGGGGCCGCGGGGCCAGCGGGGCGGGTAGGTGCTAGGTGACGGGGCCGCGGGGCCACGGGCGGCTAGGCGCTAGGTGACGGGGCCGCGGGGCCAGCGGGGCGGCTAGGCACTAGGTGACGGGCCGCGGGGCGAGCACGGCGGCTAGGCGAGGTGACGGGGCCGCGGGGCCAGCGGGGCGGCTAGGCGCTAGGTGGCGGGGCGACAAGGCTACGTGTGTCTAGGCCTTAGGGAACGGGGCCGCGGGGCCAGCAGGCGCTAGGAGACGGGGCCAACGGGCCAGCTAGGCGACGGGGCAGTGGGGCCAGCGGGGCGGCTAGGACCTAAGGCGGAAGTCGGGTGGGGGGACCTAACCTACTCATGATACCATCTGAGAGTTAGAATCGTTTTCTAGAATGGGAGCGTACAGGGGTATATAGCTAATGGGTTGTACTCTCTATGGCATGGCCCTATGTAGTCTACTAAACATACACACATATGTTTGACACCACCTAACTCATATGCAGCTTTTTTCTTTCGGCACCTTATAAGAAATACGTTGTTCCAACTTCACTGGATCCAGCTTTGTAGAAATACCGTATTCTCCCGGATACAGTACCCGCCGGAATTAAGCTCCCATGGGTGGCTTGAGCGGGTATGGGTGTTTAATTAAACTGGATCTAGTTACCACCCTACTTTTGGGCTTGATAACAATTGAACACCCCCCGCCACTTAGAATCCTTATTTCGACTGGGAACAACAGATTTTGCCGTACATAGTTGCGTGCGTAAACGTGAGGGCGAGTGGGGGAAACGAGCTGGTGGTCAACCCGAATGTGTCGGAACGGGAAAAAAAAAAGTCGAAACCTCAAAATCCAAATTCTTCATTCTCGACTCTCGCGCCCTCCCGCCAAAACAAACCTCCGCTGCCGCCCACTGATTGGAGGCTATAAGGACGAGGCCTGCAGCACTCGTTGATTGGCTGATTTGCCAGCCTCGTCCTTGACTTGACTAGTTAAGCTGACGATGTGGCAAGCAGAAGGGCCACACTGTAGGGTACGCGATGAGGACACGAGATGTTGACATGCGACACAAAACAAAATGGTGTAACATGCACAACTATTTTGGAATTGAAAAACACATATGCACGCTCCATAGAACCATGGTATTATATATTTTTTGCCTTTAATTCCACCCACCCCAAATTTTCATGAATTTTTATTAGCTCCCTAGGGTACTATATCCGGGAGAATACGGTACGCCCTTAGTTTGTTGAATTAAGGTGCCGAAAATTGCAAATCCCTTAGTTTGTTAAAAAATCGCAACTAATCTGGATCTGTTTCAACAAACTAAGGGCGTATTTCTACAAAGCTGGATCCGGTGAAGTTGGATCCATCGCATGTACAAGTGATGAAATGCACATTTCAGTGCGGTTCGGTTCAGTAATGCACGACTTAGGATCCAACTTTGCTGGATCCAACTTATAGGAACACGCCCTAATAGTACCAGTGTGGCTCATGCGTATGCAGCTCTTGGCAGCCGCCACACTCCGCAGAATGAAACCAGTTCCTATCCTTCAAAAAGGGGAGTAAGCACGCTGGCGCACACGGCTTCTTCCTTCCCCCGCACCCAGTCACCCTGAGCCTCTCTAGTCCCCCAGAGGAGGAGAGGAAGGAAGGCAGCACCTGAAGGTCGGTCCAGTGGTGCAAAGTCAGGTCAGTCAGCACAGTGCAGGCGGCCAGGGAGGGAGGGAGGAAGGGCAGGTCACACTTGCTGATTTGCAGCACTCGGAGGGAAGCTGGGAAGGCAATGATTGGCTCTTCAAAGTACTCTTCATCTTTCTTGTTCCAGAAGTATTCCTCCAGCGCTGTGCCCCACGCCCAGGATGGGAACTCGGCGTGAAAACGGACTTTCCAGATGTTCTGCCGAATCACTGAGAGGCGGAGCGTGTGCAGCTGAGTCAGCGCTGACAGGGACGAGAGCATCTCCCTGCCGCCCTTCTGGCAGCAGTTGTCAACCACGAGCGTGCGGAGCTTCGGCAGGTGGGCGAACAGATTCTGCGAGCCATATTCCCCATGGGGATTCCCCTCCCAGTGATAGTCTGGGAGCGGCTGGTACAGGTGCAAGAACTGGAGGTTGGAGTACCACCCTTGGTCGATCCCATGCAGGCGCACGGACCAGAACACTGAGAGGTGCGTCAGGCTCGGGAGCGCACCCATGTCAACCTGAAGCGCTCCCCCCCAGCACTTAGTTAAAACCATCTCTTTAAGCTTCGGGAACGAGAACTGGTCTCCCTCGCCCCTCCATGCCGGGTCCGTGTGGTGCGGGCTAGTTGTTGGAACCAAGTCCCCATAAACCCCCGACTCCCACCCCCCCCTGCCCACTGCAGTTACTTCTAGGTATTCCAGAGAGGCTCTTGCCCGCCCAGCGGCATGCAGCAAACTGCACTGATTGTAACGCAGGTGTAACCGGCGCAAGGATTTTGAGAAAGGAGCACCGGCTGCAGTCTTATCAGCCATCACCTCAAGGACTTGAAGGTTGGGGAGGAGGGGGAGGGCGCCTGAGGCGTCGGAGAAGGCCTTGGGCGCGATGAGGCGGGTGAGGAGGCGCAGGTGGCGGATGGATGGGGGGAGGCCGGGGGAGGAGCGGAGGGTGAGGGAGGAGAGGAGGGGTAATGAGCCTAGGCCCCGTATCGCCCCGCCTGCTCCTGCTGCTGCTGCGGCTGCTGCTGCCCCCGCTGGTGCTACTCCTGCCGCTGCTGCTCCTGCGGTTGGTGCCTCTGCCGATCCTTCAGGCTCGTGGCTTTCCTCCGACCCAACCTCTTCCAGACCCCGGTAGCGGCTCCACAACCCAGCCCCCTCCTCGTACTCCTCCTCGTCATCATCAAACGGCACTCTAAAGGATGTCTCCAGCTCCTGCACCTGAAACAGGCGCCAGGCAGACACCGGCATTATCACAGATACCACCTCCTTATAGGCACCGTCCCCGCGCCCCTCACTCTCATTACTGTCACATGTCGGCGTGTGCAGCAGAGTTAGCTTCTGTAGCCGCGGCCCGAGCCCGAGAAACAGGTCCGGAGACAGGCGAACCTCACCCTCGGTAGCCCCGAGCCTTATCCGGAGTTCCTGTAGTGAGGTGAGTGCACTGAAGGGCGACCCTGACTGGAGGACCACTGGCAGGCAGTCGGCGCGGTTACCCCCGTTACAACCGCCAAGGGAGAGATTGAGAGAGGCGAGGCGGCGGAGGGAGAGGAGGGAGTGAGGGAGGTGTGAGAGAGGGAGGGAGAGAGAGCGGATGTGGCGGCAGTGGTCAAAGAACCAGGGGGAGAGGTTTAGAAACGAGGCCAAGTCTTCGCCCTGCAAATGCAGTGACTGGAGCCTCTTGCACCTAGATACTATGTCTAGGAGCCCTTGCTCAATAGCGCGGCTCATTTCCTTCCCCCGCTGCTGCTGCTCCTGCGCCCTTCTCGCTTCCTTCCTCGCCCGTCTGATCGCTCTCCCCCTCCTTTTGACCAGCTCCTTAGCCGGAACCTTCACAACTATACCCCCCTCTTCAAACTGCCATCTCTCTAGCTCTCGTGCTCTCTCCTCCTCTTGCTCCTCCTCTCTCTCCTTCTCTTCCTCCTCCTTATCACGCGGCCACCACCCCTCTCCCCCCTCCGCCACCCAATCCGCCACGTCAGCCTGTACGTGGCAGCTTCTCAGAGCTCCCAGCCCTGCCACCGCCTCCAGCGCCATCCTGACGTCACCCGGGCCCACAGCCACGTCATCAGCACCCGAACCCACGCCACCCAGGGGCAGGCACACAGAGGCGAGATCAGGAAACTGCAGCAGCAGCTCCTGCACCTGCTGCGTGGACGGCATGTCAGCGCGCCAGCAGCTGCTATTGCCATTGCCATGCAGCCACTGGCCGTGCTCGTCCATACAGTGGTAACCACATCTCAGCTCCTCCCTCGTCGGGTGGCATGCGTGCCCCTCCTCCCCCTCCAGCTGCAGCACCCGCCGCGCCAGCCGCCGGCTGCTGGGGGCGCTGAGAGGTGGAGGGGGAGGAGGCGGAGGGGGAGGAGGCGGAGGAGGAGATGGCGTTGTGAACTGGTCATGGTCACACAAGTCGGAGTTACTAGAACGATTTGTCTGCTGCCATACGGACGGGTCGTCAAGCAACCACAGCGCGGAGGAAGACGGGTCCCACCGGTCACATTCGAAGCAGCTGCTGCCAGTCAACGGGGTTTCCACACTGTGCTCGTGAGGTTTCGGGTTTCGGGTTTGCGCCGCCACACTGGAGCCGTGCTCTCCGCCTCCGCCTCCGCCGCCGCCGGCGCTCCTATCGCCGTCCGATGCGCCGGCGCTCTCGGCGCCGCGAAGCACGGGCCGCCAGCGCAGCAGCAGCGGGTCGAAGGCGAGCGACAGGTGCTGCACGGCGTGGCGGTAAGCGCGGCGCCATTCGCGGCACGCCTGGCCGGCGCGGCGGAGATGGTCGGCGGCGATGGCGCGATGGGAGAGAAGCGCGAGCGCGCGGGAAAGACAGTCCACGGGGAGGAACGGGGGGAGCGGGGGGAGGGGGGGGAGTGCCCCTGCCGCGGCGCTTTCAGGAGGTTCTTGGCTGCCAGTGGCATTCTTGCGAATTATTTCTATCTCGCTGTTCAACAGCTTGTTCTCGTGTTTCTGCCACACTGCCTGCTGTTTCTCCCGCTGCTGCTGCTGCTGCGGCTGCTTCCGTCGCCCCCCCTGCTGCTGCATCCGCTCTTGCCGTTGCGGCAATCTGTCCGCGGCGTGCCGCGCTGGCTTCGCGGCTTTCGCCCTTAGCATCTCCGACAGGTGCACCGTCGATTCAACGGCGTTACTCGCTGGAGACGAGCGCGCTGGAGGCATGACTCCCCTAGTATCCGCGATAACACGAACAGCGGGCCGTCTTTCTCGGCCAGTGCCTGGAAACTGACCTACCAGCACTGCGGAGTCCCAGCGCTGCTGCCGGCATTGGCGCCGCATTTGCCGCAAGTTCTGCTGCTGGGGGTTCCGCTTTGCGAAACCCATCTGTGCGTGAAGTGCGCGGTGAACGGGTTCACGGCGGCTCGTCTACGAGAGCCCGCCTCTGGTAATACGAGAATCGCTGCGCGTACCCAACTGTTTGAGATGGCTTGCGGGCTCGCGACGAGATAGATTACCACGCAAGTAGACGAGAAAATTCGTTTTGCCGGGGTATAGGCGAGAAGTAGGCCTGCGACCTTGGACTATGACCTAATTTGAGTGGCAGAGCGTGAAGGAAATTGAGGTGGATGGGGTTGACCTCCTCTGGAGGGCTGGAAGGTGGAAAACTTGCTGGACGAGCTAAGTTGAATTAGCGTAGGAGCAGTCACGAGGTGGAGCACCCAACCTTCATCACGAGCCCAGGAAAGGCACGATGCTTTCAGTTGGGGCAGGTCTGTCCAGCGGGGCAGGGCAGATCTGCTCGAGCCGCATTCTCTAGGCAGGGATGGCGTGTGATTGGTGATGGCTGGTGGAAGCGTGCGATTCTAACAATGTTCGTGCAAGGTTTTCGGAGGGTTTGATGTCCTGCTGACTGAACTACACCCATTTGACCTCACATAATCGAGCTCCACTGCGCACTGTATTGAAATTGGGATAAAACTAGTACTTGAATTGCATTCCCCTTAGGTCTTTTTTGGTTTGCGCAGCAACCCTTTACTTTTGGTTTCATTTTTCGGGGCACTAATGTGAGCAGTGGATTTTTTTTGCACCTTCCAGGTCAAAATAGTTTCCTGTCATCCACCCCGTCGATAAATACCGTAATCCCCCGGATATATGTGCATCCCTTTATTTAGCCCAATGCGCTTATGGAGTGCAAGTGCGCCTATATCCGTTATTCGATTATCCTGGCTCACTTTGTGGCCATAGGCAGACACCGACCACAGCATTGGTCGACCGCTAAGAGGGTTTTGCGTTATCTAGCAAGTACATTGGGCATGGAGCTAATGCTAGGAGGACGCAGGACAGTGGTCCTTACAGGGCAGACAGACGCTTCGTGGGCAAACGACGCTAAGGGCGAATTCCTATGAAGTGGGATCAGAATCAATAATGTTCCTGATCCTGCCGTTTTGCTACGCGCAGATCAACAATCCTAGAAAACGATCGCAAGTGAGTTTCGTGTGCGACCTGGATGTTTCGCATGATCCTACGTGTACACCCCTTTCAACACAAAAATATCACTTCGACAATTGTAAAATCCTCGTCACGCCGAACCAGACAGGGAAGTGCGCGCTCCAATCACGAGCAAGGGATTTTCGAAGCCAGCAGAAGCACAAACATAATTCGTTTTTTTGTTCGCTGCGTGCCATATCTGATTTTCGTTTTTTTTTTTTTTTTTTTTTTTTTTTTTTTTTTTTTTTTTTTTTTCGTTTTCGTTGCGCTGCGCGTCGCTCGTCAGCGCGCTTTCGGTTGCTTGGCGCAAGTTGGAGCCTATCCCGAATGTGTTTGAAGAAGCAGCTAATCGGACGTCCCCGTGCGACGCTGAGTCCCCGTGCCACGCAAAGGACAAGAAAGCAAGCTTTCTCAATATATATATAAAGAGGAGTACACAATCAAGAGCCTAGCAAGTGAGATTCCACAGACGACGAGCGTCCACGAGATGGCACCTGCACCAAGGCTAAAGCAGTAGCCCTCGGAGGACCTAAGAGTCTTAGGGCGAATTCATACAAAGTAGGATCAGAATCAGAAACGCAGATTTCATTATTGATCTCCTTTCCTGTCTGTTACGCCAAGATCAGAAACGAGGGCTCCAGGGAATGTGTTCAGCGTGGCACCCTAGCTGTGGGCACTTGCGTCTACGTGGATGACTGCGTCGTAGCTGTGCCGCACATGGAATGGGGCATCGTTGAAACGGTCGAACTCTTGGATCCAGAATCTCAACTCTTCAATGGCGGGTGGGGAGAGGAGGACCATGCTGGTCCATGTCGGCGCGTTGTTGATTTTTTCTAGCATGGCATGGCTGAACGCTCGGGTAGTGGTGCCGGGTGCGACGGCCATCGATGTCAGCATGCCTATAACTCGGGCCAATTGCCGGACTGGGACTTTCCGCTGGGCTGAGCTTGCGCGCAGTAGGGCATGGAGGGTGGCGTTGAGTGTGGCTCGTCGCTCCTCGCCGATGGAAAATCGGCCAGCCTGTGTGTCGAGTTCTACGCCAAGGAACCAAAGGTGCTGTGTTGGTATCAGCTTGGACTTTTTTGAGTTGAGTACGAGCCCGGCGGCCTTGAGATCGATAACGACCCGTTGGCACGTGGCTTGAGCGTGTGCCTGGGTCGAGCACAGGAAGAGGATATCGTCCACGTAGGGTATCACGCGGACCCCCTGCTCCCGCCATCGCCGAGCTAATTGCTTGATGAGTTGCGTGAAGACGAATGGTGCTGTGGCGAGGCCGAATGGCAAGGATCGGAAGGCATATATGCGCCCGTCGAATTCTAAGCCGAGGAACGTCCAGCACGAGGGATGGATGTCAACATGGTGATAGCCTGATTTCAAGTCGATGGAGAACATCCAATCTCCTTGGCAAGCGAGGTCCGCCACACGGTTGAGTCCCTCATATTAAATTTGGGGATGATTAGTGCGTCGTTCACTTTTTGGAGATCCAGAATAAGGCGACACTTGTCTTTCTGCTCGACCACGTTGAGTGGGCTTATGCATCTCAGTTTCGCTGCAGGAATTTGGATGGCCGCGCCAGTCTCGGTGAGTTCAAGGATGGCCGTACGCGTGAATGCTTCATGGATGCGTGCGCCGGCATGGTTGCGATCGTAAAAGGCCGGCAGCGACCCGAGTTTCCATGGCATCCAGTATCCTTTGGCAATGACTGAGAGGATGAAACTGCTAGTGCACCAGAAACTCCACCAAGCGAACGTGGTACGTAGGCGACCACACATTTGGGTGACCATCTTGTCAGTAACCGCGTATTCGTAGGGGTCACCGCTGTGTGCGCATTCGCGAAGTCGGGTGCCCGCGTCATTGTCGGAGTCGTCACTGTCGTTGTCGGCCGTCGGGGCAGGCGGGATGCTGGCGATGGCGTCTTTGGCGAGGCGTGGAGTCTTGGTTCCGCGTGTGGCATTTTCTGTTTTTGCAGTTTCTTTTTTAGCAGATTCAGAAGCAGCAGGTTGAGCGGTTTCGGCGGCCGTAACACTCGTCGCCTGCTGCTATAACAGCGTCAACAGCGTGTTGACCTGCGCAGGGGTCAACGAGGGGGTCAAGGTCGGGGTGGGTGGCACGTTAGATGAGGCAGCCGCGCGCCCCCTTTTGCACTGGTGAGAAGGACCCACCACTTGCGGCGCTGGCGCGTGCTGCTGCTCGGCGTCAGGCGCGAGTGGCTAGCCCTGCTCAGCCACTTGCGCGCATGGCTCTGAAGGGGGCGGGGGCGCGTCAGCTGGCTGATTGTTGACCTCGCCCCCTCCCAGCAGGACGTGAACCCCAGTTGGGGCAGCCGCCCCTTCTTTTGCCCGACGCTTGTTGCGCCGGTCGCCCGCAATTTCTGGGGCTTGGCGAGTAGACTTGGAATTGGGGTGGCCGGTGACGACGTTGGACTCGCCGCGATTATTCGTAGTCGGAGCCATGACGGAATGGTGAAACTTAAAAATATCGGAAAGAAGAGTTGAGGGAGACTCGCCGCGAGGTTAAGTTCTAGTCTTAGCCAGCTTGAACGGGAGAAAAGCTAGAGCGGGAAAGTTGACTGAGCCGTTTGAAAAATGAGAGACGTGGGTGGAGGTAAATGAGCTCCAACCCACGTATTTGTAGTTGGAGAAGGGCGAGTAGCGTGCTTCGACCATGCCCAACGCTTCAGTACAATCAGCTTCGCTTTCACAATACACAATTTTTGAAAAACACAGCGTGTTAAAAATTATAATCTTTCAAACTGGCCATGTGGCTTCTGTTCCAGTGGCCGCGCTAGTAGTGCTGCCCTGGTTTGCTCTTGTCTAGTTTGTGCTCTTTTGACTAGTCTTTTGACCCAAATAGTAGTGCCACCCTGAGCTGCGTGTCTCTTGCCAGGCACTGCCCCTTGTCTAGCCTAGGGGGTGTGTCAAACATATATGCATATGTTATTATAGGCTAGATAGGTGCATGCTCTTAGAGGGTAAAAATGTCAGCTTATACATATGTTCAATGTAGAAGTTATAGGCTAGACTAGGTGTGTGCTTCTACTGAGTACAACCCAACAGGTATATGTTATAGGTTTCTCTTTCTAGTAAATCATTATCGTATTCTATCGAGTAGGTTAGGTCCACCCACCCGCTTCCGCCCGCGCTCTAGCCGCTCGCCCCTCCCCTACCTACCTAGCCCGTCCTGGCCCCGTCGCGCCCTCCTGGCCCCGTAGCGCCCTCCTGGCCCCGTCGCGCCCTCCAGGCCCTGTAGCGCCCTCCTGGCCCCCGTCGCGCCCTCCAGGCCCCGTAGCGCCCTCCTGGCCCCCGTCGCGCCCTCCAGGCCCCGTAGCGCCCTCTTGGCCACCGTCACACCCTCCAGGCCCCGTATCACCCTCCTGGCCCCCGTCGCGCCCTCCAGGCCCCGTAACGCGCCTGCCTGGCCCCGTCGCGCCCACCTGGCCCCGTCGCGCCTGCCTGGCCCCGTCGCGCCTGCCTGGCCCCATCGCGCTCGCCTGGCCCCATCGCGCCTGCCTGGCCCCGTCGCGCCCGCCTGGCCCCGTTGCGCCTTCCTGGCCCCGTCGTGCCTGCCTGGCCCCGTCGCGCCCGCCTGGCCCCATTGTGCCCGCCTGGCCCTGTCGTGCTCGCCTAGCCCCTCCACGCCCGCCAGGCCCCGTCGCGCTCGCCTGGCCCCTCCGCGCCCGCCTGGCCCCACCGCGCTCGCCTGGCCCCACCGCGCTCTCCTAGCCCCGTCGCGCCTTCCTGGCCCAGGCGCGCTCGCCTGGCCCCTCCTAGCGCCTGCCTGGCACCTCCTAGCGCCCGCCCGGCACCTCCTAGCGCCCGCCCGGCCCCTCCTAGCGCTCGCCCGGCACCTCCTAGCGCACGCTCGGCCCCTCCTAGCGCCCGCCCGGCCCCTCCTAGCACCCGCCAGGCTCCTAGCGCCCGCCCGGCCCCGCTGCGCCTCTCCGACTTCCAGCGCCAGCCCGGCCCCTCCTACTGCCTGCTCGGCCCCTCCTCCTTCCTGCTCGGCCTGCCGTGCCACCTCGGGCCCGGTCTCCTCTGCTCGCCCGCCGTGTCCCCGCGCCGCTGTATTCCTGCGGAGCTGTGGAGCAGTGCTGCTGCATCGCTGTGGAGCAGTATCACTGACCCTGCACGATGGCTGACTTCGTGCTCCGACTGGACGCTGAGGGCCACACGGTTGACTTCGCCGCCTGGCTCTCCGATCTCCGCCGCCACCTTACCGATCAGCGCCAGGATGGCCACCCTTTGGTTGTCCATGTCAATGGCTTGCTCCCCCGCCCCCCTGCCCCTGCTCCCCACCCTGTTGACCCCTCCTCTGATGACCGTGAGACCTTCTCTACTGCTGCGCTTGCCTGTGCGGTCTGGGACTCCCGCGATGCAGTAGCTCAGGTTGCCATTAGTCACGTCCTCCCTGTGTCTGAGCGCTCGCGTTTCGCTACGGTTGATACGGCCAAAGCTTATTTAGACGCCGTTATTGCTCGCTATTCCACACCTGCATCCGCTTCTGCCGGCCGCTTGCTCGTCCCGATGCTGTTCCCAGACCTTGCTGCCTTCCCTACTGTCGCAGACTTTGCCACTCACTTGAGTGCCCTAGAGACCCGCTATCGCAATGCCAGCACTGCTGCCCAACTCACTGCGCTCCCCCCACCCTTCTGCATGACGCTCTATTTTATCGCCATGCGCCTGCCGATCGCCTAGCTAGTGCTCGCGACCACTTCCTTAGCCAGCACCCAGGTGACCTCACTCTGACCGCCTTTGTCGACACCCTCACTGAGATCGAGACTCGCCAGCGCACTATCGCTCAGTCGAGCGGTGCGCCGGCAGTCTCTATCTTTCACGGTTGTGCCCCATCCCGTGCACGTTCACTGACGTTTCGGCTGCGGTCGCCACGGCGACCCCTCTTACCGAGACTGCTGCTGCTGTCCACCCGCAGCAGCGCTCGCGTCGCGGTGGCCGTGGCCGCCAGGGAGGTAGGGGTGGTGCGCAGGTGGTAGTGGTGGTGGTGGTGACGGTAGTCCGCCTGAGGGGACTACCACCGGTGGGCAGGAGCAGCAGTCCCAGCAGAGCAGGCAGCAGGCCCCAGCCGCAGCCGCCGTCCCAGCAGCACCCGCCGCAGCCGTGGGCTCGTCTCCCGCCTGGTTGGCCCGGCACCTCCGGGGGTGGCCGTGGTGGCGGCCCGCGCAGCTTGGCGTCTACCAGCGGCTCCAGTGCTGTGACCTGCCAGTACCAGCTTCAGACCGGGCCTCTCCGCGGCACTCTGTGCCGGCCCGCACCCGACCGCCCGCTGTTTCCGCCGCCTCGACGATCTTTTCGTCGTCGCTTTGGCCCGGCCCCGGACCTCCCTGACTGGCACAGCCTGCTCCGCCAGGGCGTGCCGATCTTTGAGTTAGACATGGATCAGATAGGTGCTGCTTTGCATGCTTTGTATCTGACGCTTCTAGTGTTGATGGATCTTATTCCCTGTGTACTCTAGTTTAGGTGTTCACCCTTGTGTAGCTTAGCTTCCCCTGCTGCGACAGGCGTAGGACTGCCTAGGTTGCCTAGTCTAGTCTCTGCACCGGCTCCGTCCCGGCCTCCGCCACTGCGTCGCTGTCCTTCACTCTCGACTCTGGTGCTTCTGCCTGCTTCTTCCGCGACCGTTCCACGCTCACGCCGCTTGCTGCACCTGCTGTTGTCTCTCTCGCTGACCCCTCTGCGGGTCCGGTCGTCGCTCGCGCTCACGTCCCTTCCCTGTCCGGCAGTTCCCTCGGGCTCCCTTACTGGCCTCCACGTTCCCTCGTTCTCAGGAACCTGGTTGGTGTCGGCTGTCTCCAGGACCTCGGCGTCACCACCACGTTCCCCGGGCACGAGCGGTTCGCTGTCTGTTCTGAGGCTGTCTCAGGTTCCCCCCTTGCGACGTTCCCCCGGGACCCGGTGTCCGGTCTGTTTACCCTAGACACCGCTTCCCCCCCGGTTGGTGCGTCCTCCCAGGTCGCTGCAGCTTGCTCGTGTCGGTCCCTCACTCACCCTCCCTTCTCTGGCACCACCGCTTAGGTCACCCTGCTCTCCCGCGTCTGCGTCACATGTCCCAGCACGGTCTTGTCTTAGGTCTCCCGCGTCGCTCCCTGCCCTTCCTCCCTCGACTGCGCCACCGTGCACGCCTTGCGTCGAGGGTCGGCTCCGCCGTGCTCCTCACTCCTCCTCGCTGCGTCCTGCTACTGCCCCCCTTCAGACCCTGCACTGGACGTTTGGGGCCCTGCCCCCGTCCCCGGACCGCGCGGTGAGCGCTACTTCCTTGTGCTCGTTGACGACTACACGCGCTACACCACGGTGTTTCCCCTGGAGCGGAAGGCCGACGTGCCCGACGTTCTTCTCCCGTGGGTTGTGGCTGCGCGTCTCACCGCGGTCTCCCCGTGTTGTGTCTCCACT